AGAGAGGCATTCATAAAAATCATAATTAGTATCATATCATTAGTATAAAAAATCACAAAAAAAAAAACAAATTTAGTTTTAAAAAATTGCAATCAGTATCATAAAATTAGTATCCAAATCACTTTCTCCCTTGCTCCTTCACAAAAAAGTCATAAAATGAGTATAATTTTTTTTGTAAAAGTATGGTTTTAAAATTGGTATAAAAAATTAATATCAATAGATGCTTGACAAGAAATGACATTTCAATATTCGCATATTTTTGCAGCACATTGATAGTCCATAATGCATTACACCCCCCCCCCCCCCCCCCTCCGCGCGCTTCCCTCCTTTCCTTTTTTAAAAAAACTCAAAAAACAATAGTTAGAACGATTTTCAATACTATCTTGAAATTGTTATATGGCTATGTCAGCCGATCCATCGATCTGGACCAATTTCGGATGGGCGATCTAGGTCACCGATCCATTTTGGAAATATTGGGGAAGTCATTAGAGTACCTCGAGAGCTAATGATACTGTCTTAGTGAAATTCAAATGTCTCAATTCCCCAACGATCGAACCAAAGACTCGAGTTCCTTTTGGATATCCCTCTTGATCAATAACAACTGCTGCATTGTCATTATATCACATTATTATACCGTTGTCACGTTTGAGTTCTTTACATGTTCGTACAATTACAGCTCTGATCACTTCTGATCTTTCCAGGGGCATATTGGGTACTGCGTCTTTGATTACAGCAACAATAATGTCACCAATATGAGCATTTCGGTAGTTACTAGCTCCTACGATTGGAATACACATCAATTCTCGAGCCTCGCTGTTGTCCGCTACATTCAAATGGGTTTGAGCTTGAATCATTTTCTTTTTGTTTTTGCAAAGTATGGGGGCAGAGAAATAAATATTTTCTTTCCAGAAAGAAATAAATCAATGATAAAAAATCCATGGTAAATCATACCGGTTCTGTTGACTCCTAATCTGGATCAAGCGATTTCGATCTCGATCAACATTTTTTAAAAGCTTGAGTAAAACATAATATGCTCCTTGCCTGCACAATCTATGCAATGCACAGATTGAACAACCACTTCATCAAGTTGCCATCTTCAAGAAATAAGTTGAACTCCCGCATATATAGAAAGGCAATGGAATGATTACAAGAAAAACATTGGGTCTTTACTAGGGCAAATTGGAACGGTATAATCCTCTCCCATTTTGGAAACTCAGGGATATCATAGAAAGCTGAGCTCTCCATTTGCTGCCTAAAACAATTAGACAATGTATATTACCTTATAACTTATTAGCTCATCAACGCATATAATGTCCTGGATATTCGGATTAGAGACTAGCACATCTACACACTTGTTAAATCCAGTCATAATTGTGTCATTTGTGTGTTTACCCCTATCAGCATAAAAAAAGCGGGGTTCAAATAATAACCAGTTGTATGCGATGGCCGATGTAGCTGCCTTTCCCATTTCTCATTAATAATCTTCCAAACAGGCTCATAGCGGTTCACATCATCATTTAAATTATGGGCTATCTCCCTCTTGCATCTTTCCATTGCCTCATATATGTAGCCCATGAAGGGCTTGCACTATCAACCATGTAAAGGACTTTGACAAGAGGAAAATAATATCTTAAGAGCGTCATTCATCCCTCACCAAAAGGCGTTATAAAGGATAATATCTCTCACTTTCTTCCCTTTCTGATCCTTGGACCACTTGCATGCACTCCACTCATCTTAGATAAACCTCTGCCTCAGCTGGACTCTCATCGAATGTATGCTATCTAGGCATAGGTACCAGGTAGCAAATCTCGTGACTCCTGGCCTCACAATCTCTTTCTTTGTAAATCTATACATCGTGCTGAGGGTGAGGGTGTGGCTATAAATGAAAGTAGTTACTGACTTTACGTTCTTAACTGCACCTGTAATAGCGCTCAAACCGCCTAGAGCCTCAAGCATGAGGTCTATACAATGCGCCACACATGGTGTCCAAAAGAAACTAGTATAAGCTATGTGCAACTAATTAGCGGCAGTAACATTAGGAGCAACATTATCTATGACAACTTGTATAACATGCTGCTCCCCAACCTCCTTGATGCCCTTTTCCATCACATGAAATATGTAATGGGCACCATGGCTATTATCAGAGGCATCAATAGACCTCAAAAAACAGTCCCTAAGGACTATTCACAAACAAATTCATCTGGTTTCTTCTCTACATATCACTCCAAGTATTAGTCATAACAAAAACCCCGTATTGAACCCATGCATCCTTCTATGACTCCACAATCTCCCTCATGGCATTCACCTCGCTTTTCAAAAGAGGCTCTAAAAGCTCATATGGGTTGAGGGCTTCAACCCAGGGCTAAATTGGGCAATTGCCTCTACCAAGGTGTAGAAGTTGCTTAGACGCACGAGATTAAAAGGAATGCCTGCCACATAAAATTATCTAGCAATGTACTTTGCAGCTCTATCTCTCTAATGTGGGCTTTAATGAGGTTTATGTTTGAAATGAACCTAAATCCCTATTCTTGCAATCTTATATTAATTAAAATAATCCAAAAATGCCCCTCAATGCGAGGCATTTTCGCCCCTGGTAGGGCGCAAACCTTGGACTGGGCGAGTCGCCTAGGCTCCCCTGGCCTGCCTAGGCGCTAGACAAACCGCCTTTTGGAACATAAGATCTCTAACCTGGAGATGGCGGTATTATTGGTGTTTGTTCTAGAAAAGGCAGTAAAGAAGTCTAAGTGGACTACTTCCGCAAAATGTGTGTGAAAATATAGTATGGTGACTCCAAAGTATTTAAGGAACTAGAGAACTAACAGAAATGAACAATTTCAAACTTAAATTTTATATAGAAGGTTTCATCTTTTCTTTAGCCAAAATTGGGGTTTGTGAGGAGTTCCAGGGACTTTCAACCTCCTATTACATTTTACATCAGACCTCTTTATGCGGCCGACATCCGTGATTTCGGGTCTTGAAGCATACAGATCTAAACCGACTTGTCTCACGACATTATGAGCCCAGCTTACGTACAATAAAGAAAATATACAGAGAAAATAGGAATGCTCAGTACCAAGAGGTGTATAATGCTTGTATACTTGGATATATGTCGGGGTTACGACCCACACTCTGCTCCTTTTGAAGACCTTGGCTTCAATTTCATTTGGAATATCAGGTTTCTCTCTTTGTTATGTTTTTACATGCAGGAGGTTGGCAGTTGGCACTATTAGAGGCTTGTCTCCTTGCCGTGTCATGTAAGCGTTGATATGATGTTACTCTCTCTCTGTATCACATGATTATATCTTTGTGTAATACAATATCAATTTGTTCAGTCCCCCTCCCAACTACATTAATGTGGTTTATATAGAGGTTTAGGGATGGTGAACATGGAGGACCGTGGTGCTTATCCACGGTCTAATTTGCATGGCTCAAAGTGGTTCAATGTATTTCAAACTTGTTTTGAGTTTAAATCCTTTATAAATTTGAATTTAAACCCAAGAAAACCCTGATTTGCCGGTCGTATGAGAAAATCAAGGAAAAATAGTTATCTGCATCTGTCATCGGTCAAACCATTGTGTAGTTCTGCCATGTCTAGGTCCAACTGATGCCACTTTCTAATGGATCATCTTTTTGGCCTGGAAATTTGCATGATGATAGAGGACTCAAAGATGAACTCAATAATCCAAATTTCACCTCAAAATGGATTAGTAATGAGGGAGATACGAGCTGTCAAAGTTTACCAATTTTTATTGCAATTTTGGCAGTAGATCTGGCCATTGCTGGCTCAACCGCTTTCTTCTAAAGGGATTATGGACCCTGGGAACTTGACAATCTTGTAAGGGCCCATGATGCATATCTTCACAAAATTTGGTGCCAAAACTCTTCATATCTTGGGAGATATTTAAGTCCGGTGGTCAAGCATTTGCACAATTTTATGACTTCTGTTGCAGCTTTGATTGCTTTCGCATGAGGCATCCATATAGTACCACCCCACCCGTAGTTGGTAGAGCATTGAGTCAGGAATCCATTGGTCCAAGTCTCACGAGAAAACTCCTTGCAGATTGGGAGAAATATTGATTAGTGACTGGAGGTCATCGTGGCCGCTGAGTATGTGCCTGACAGACAACAAATGTGAGCCTTGGTTGCTGATGGATATAGATGAGGGGTCAAATTATTTCCAAATGATTGGCAACTTTAGGGAGAGGGTTGTTATGCTGCACATATAATTTCCCAAAAGTTTTAGATCAATCATCAATCCCCAAATATCATGGGAGGAACCAACAGTTGGGGCATATCCTGGGAATCGACGGATTTGGATGATGCATCAAATGATGTCCAATTTATATGATTATTGGACTAGAGGCATATAAGGCCATGTTAGGACAATCTGCCAAGTTCCACTGGGTTCTGACATGGTTTGATAAGGTTTCACAAGGTCCGGCCATCAAAATCCTCTTTAACAAACGACAGATCTAGATACATATCAAATTGTAATCAATCTCCTCCATTATCATGTGGGGAGGCTTCTAAGGACCATGGAAATATAATTTCAGAGTTTGGGCTCATATTAAAATTATTTAATAGTCTTCATGATTGATCGTTCGTTAAGATGTATATGGTGACTGGCTTTCAGGGCCCTGGATGGCAAGTGCTGATTTTCTTACACCTCACTTATGATATCGAGAGTGTATTCTGCAGATATCTTTTGAAATTATGTTCATTGATCTATGTATCATGGCCCATCGTCTTATCATGACCCATCGTTTGTCAAGCATATATGGGCTTGACGACTTCTTGACTCTTATCTTCTGAGATCCCTTGCCTTTGTTTGTGGATCTTCCAAGTGTTTTTGCCTTTGTATTTTGGCTCCAAAAACATATCCAACTGAGTAGACAATATTGTAATAGATGCCTCAATGGAATAGCGAAGTATGAAAATCAACAGAGGAAACTAATTGAGCAATGGAAGATGGGACAAGAATAGGAGAAGAGGGAGAAACTTGAGGCTTGTGTCTGGGCTTCGCCCTATTCTTCCATTACCTATTTTTTGCTGATAGTTTCAAAAACCCATTCTTCTTCTTTTAATGCTGGGCCGGAGGACTTCTATATCTGGAGATGGGGTTTTACGTAGCGGTGGATTCCACCTTTTACTGCTTTACATATAAAGCTCAAGCATCAGCTTGGTTTCTTGGCTGATTTGGCTGCATGATTCAGCAGTGCTTCGAGGGTTTTGTTAGCTCCATATCCAGGATTTCCATTCTTTTTTCTCTTGGGATGACCATTGATTCTAAAGTTTGTTCAAGATCTTGTGTTCCAAATATGAACACACTATCCCTCACCATGCCTAAATTGTAAAAGGAAACACTAATGACTTATAGTATTGCTAGTCATTTCCCCTCTTTAAGAAGATTAATTATTAGTTCTGTAAATTGATTTGACTATCTTCTTTCTTATGTTGAAATGAGCTTTTTCTTATTTTATTTTGGGTTCCCAAATATTCGTGTTGATTGATTTTACTTTCTAGAAATATTTTTTATGATGAATTCACTTCTCGGTTGATTAACATATAAAATAGTTGATTGAAACGCTTAAAACATTGTTGAAATGACAGATTTTTTGTAGGACGGTAGATAAATTGTTCAAACGCTTGATTTTACAATCCTAACTGCCAAAAATGCATTGATTATTAATCATTTTAGATATGAGTCATCTTCTTATTTGTTTCTTTGTTTCTCATTGAGTGTGAACACAAAAATTTTTGTTTATTCATTGGTCGTTTTATAATGATTGAAGGGCTGATTGTTCATTTTAACGATGCACCTTCGAAGTAATCTAGTGACAAATGAGGTCAATATATGTGAAGAAATTTGTATGATACTTCAAATCTTTTGATACTTGTTTCTTATATTTAGTTTTTTTCTTTCTAATAATTTCTTATCTTTTTAACCATAATTATGGTGTTTTGTACTTCAGGTCATGGACAATACAAGATGACTCATGGGGCATACTCCAAGCCCTATACCCAGGTTTCTCATAGACAAAATAACAGAAAAATGTCTTCTTTAATGGTTTTATTATTGTGCGCAACGTAAGAGAGAAGCTCTTCTTTAATATTATTATTATCTTGATTTTCATTTGACCAGCAGCCAAGAGAAAAAATTAAGATCATGGCTGCTGCTGCATGACTGCTATAGGATGGAAAAGGCTTTAACGGCGATGATAACACCGGCTGCTGCTGCATCATCGTCAAAGAAGCGCACAGCCACTGTTGCTGGCCATGATAATGATGATGCACAATCCAATTCACAAAAAAAAGGAGGAGAAGAAAGGTCTCTGAGTCTCAACAAAGACTCCATCCTCACCCACTTTCTTTCTCACCACCCTGCAACTGAGGCTTTGAACGATAAGCAGCTGTGGATGATGGGTGCCCTCATCCGACATATAAGCTACTGCCACAATGATCCCCTCCATCTACAAGCCATCTTAAACCTTTTCTCTGAGTACTACTCTGCACAGCCACTAGGAGGAGGTGAAGATGCACCTCCTCTTATTGTTTCCACTGCCAAAACCATCATTCATCTCTTATCGCATAAGAAGAGGAGCAACAATGGCAGCTCCAACTATGATGATATGAGGAGCAGGTTGAAAGCACAAGCCCTGAGTGTGCTTCTATTGTTGACTCAGGGGCAGAGCCTCCCTTTTGAAGTGCTGGCTCAAGTGGAAGACGCGATCCTTGCACTGCTGTCCTCCAGCTTGGCTACAAGTGTTAGGGTTAGGGCTTTGAATCTGCTGGCTGCCATGGCTGTTAAGAGAAGGATGATGAAAGGGTCATCTGATGATGATGGATGTGAGTTTCGCATATTGTTGGCATTCTGTGATGATCTTTATCCATCTGTGAGGAAAGCTGCCTTTGAAGGGTTGATGGCAGTTGTTGGTGAGGAGAGTTGGGAGTTATTATCGTTGAGGAACAATGGTCATCTCGCCCTTGCGCTTCTAAAGGATGAGGATGAGATCATTAGGTTATATGTGGTTCGAATGGTGAGTCTTCTGAAATCTCCCCTTTCCTTATCTAATTTGTTTTTCCCTTAGAACAAAGAGTGATATCCAATTCCCTGGCTCCTTGGGATTTGCAAATTTGAGCTGCAGAATTTTGGTGTTCATTTGGTTTTGGAGATTCTTCCAATATCCAGTTACAACTGTATATTTGGCTGTGCAACTCTTTAAACAGAAATTTTCGCTGATCACAGCTACTTGGCCATTACTGCTAATGGCCCATTTAATATGATCCTTAATGTAATAACAACTTCATCACAATTTTGGACTGTCTGATAGTTTTGGTCTTTTAATATTTGCTGTAATTATACAACACAAAAACTCAACTTCAATTAAAGGGAAAGAAAAAAAAAAATTGCATGACCTAGTGGCTATGATCATCCCATCAAAGGGCTGGATGGTGTTAGAGTAGCATCTACCTCACAATGTCTATAAATGAACTTTATGGCTCTACTTTCTCCCCATTGCCATCAACCAATCGATTGAAGTTGATGAGCCCATAGTCATGGTTGTCACTATGGCATGGATCATACTTTACTTTTCCATGTTTTTAAAGCATTAACTGAGAGACATTTGAAATTTGGGCAGCTTTCTGAAAGTTTGACAATTTATAGGTTTTTAGGTAACAATCGTCAATAAGGGAGAAATTGGCCGTACTTCTTTTTGGAATCCAAAACATTGGTTTTTTCATTGACTGAACTGAAATTGGAATGTGAAAACTTAGGCCCCTTATCTTGCATGGCTCCTTCGTTATGTATATCTACCAATTCCTACTCATTGGTCTTCCTCTCATAGTTCAACGGGCAGGAAGCCTGGATACCGTTACTTTCTTCTATTTACCTAGGTCCTTGGGATCTTCTTATATCTCTGGCTCCTTTCCCGTTTTAATAAGCTTGTACGCATTTGAAATCTAGATTAGCAGTTGGAAAGGAATGTTGGGAGGAAATGATGAAGCTTATGTGGGACAACTTGATGAAGCTTTTCTACAGGTATTACTAGACAAGAATGCATATCCTTTTATTTCTCTTCATTCCATGACAGTGTAACTTATGAAACCTGTTCTGGCTCTTTATTTCTTTGTGTTTTCTGGTGTTATCTCCCGTCTTTATTCATTGTTAGGAGACTTGTTAACCCATGTGTTCTGATCTTGTCTGCCAGCTTTGTTTACTGTCGAGGGATATAAGTAAGGAGGTCAGATGTGAAGCTCTTCTTGCTCTTGGAAGAATGAAGTTGGTATCTGAGGATATTCTTCTACAATCTCTGACCAAAAAAATTCTGGAAGTTAAAAGTGGGATAGTGCATCAATCTTGGAGGCGAGGATTGGTATCAAGTGCAGCTGGAGCCTTTATTCATGGGCTGGAGGATGAATTCTTTGAGGTAATGTTTGCCCCTGCTTATGTTCTTTTCCCCAATTCATTTCATATATTATGATTTTATATCTACTGCTATAAGATAAAAGCAACTAGTACTTGCAAATTGATATGTATATGTACTCTCCTATTACAATTCGTTTCCTTTTTGCTTTTCTTTTTCTAAGTCAGTAGTTCACAGAGCCAACGTCAAATATCTTGTGACGCCTTTGCATTTGTTGTATATTGGCTTCATAAAATTGCAAGGAAACAAATGAAAATGCATGTTCACTTTTTGAAGGTAAGAAGAGCTGCATGCGTTTCCTTGGTGAGGCTGTCCAGCCTCTCTCGGCGGTTTGCTCATGATGCCCTGAACTTGCTGATGGACATGTTGAATGATGACTCCATGGTAGTACGATTGCATACTCTACAGGCACTGTCTCAAATGGCAGTCCTTGATTGCTTGACGGTTCAGGAGAAACATATGCACATGGTATACTTTTTGTTCCTTAACCACCTTGGAACGATAGTCAGGGCATACATCTAGGGCTGGGAATTTATCCGGACCTGAGACCCGACTACCCAACCTGGTCCGGGTATGGGTCCATGATTTGGACTTGGTGGTCGGGTCCGTGTACAGGTGGGCCTGCCCCAGGACCCGATCTGATTACTTTAAAATATTATATATATGATATTATATATAAATTTATAAAGGTTAATATAGTAACATATACATAGTCTTTTATCTTCTTTTGGCACTCTTCTTTTTATAGCATTACCCACCCCTTATATATATATATATATTAAGGTTATAATATATATTATTTTATATATGTTTTTCATTTGTTGTTTGCAAATTTTCTTATTAGGCTTAAAATGAGAAAATTGATGAATTATTGCCCAAATATTCTTACTAGATATTTACATGTTTTTGGTAATTTTTAAAGTTTTTGGGTAAATAATTTTTTTTTTTTAATTTTTAGCTATTTTTTATTATTTTGTATGTAATCCATCGGGTCTAGGTCTGGGTACGGGTCCAGATGACCCGGGTCGAGGTTCCATGTATGGATTTCGGTCTAATACATCTGAAAAGTAACTAAAGGTCTTCTGCTCACAAACCCATTAATACTTTCTTAGTTTTGTGTTGGAGGGTTATAGTTACCTGTATTAAGATATGCTTTGGAAAGGGATGGTTTATAAACTTATTCTCTAGGTTATGTTTGGGAAAGCTTCTTGAATCGGTTATCTGACCTAATCCATGACATAGCATAACACTAGGTGGTTGGGGGTGCGCCATCCCATTCTTTATATACTGCAAGAGACCACAAATAAGTGGTGTTTTACATTATATTTGAAAGGGTTATGAAAATCAAATTTTTTTTCAAGTGTGCGTCATGCAGTCGGGTGCTATCTGCTGACCTGTCACGTCTAAGATCTCATACTGTGCCAAACAAATCTTTAGTTGTTTGCATTTACTTTCTGATATTCTCTTTGATAGTTAAAGATTTGACCTAATTTGGTTGATGAGTTTATGCTTTGCAGTTTCTCGGGATGCTGGTGGATAATAATCCTTCAATCAGATGTGAAACAAGAAAACTACTCCGCAAAATGAAACTGCCTGATCTAAAAGTGTTCAAAACCTCAGTTCAAGGACTTCTTATGAATTTGGAAAGGTATCCAGAGGTATATATAATTAACCTGTTGGTCAAAATTATACGTAAACTAGTTGTTCGGCTAGAGATTCCCAAGCCCGAGTTGGTTTGTTTCAAATAGTTTGAAAGTAGGAATCCTCAGCATAAATATAAGTACATGCCAAGGTTCTCCATGCTTTTATCTTTGCTCATTGGTTCCCATAATGTAATGGGGATTTCTTTCGATGTTATTTGATGGGTGAATGCAACAAGTCTACGGAGGTTGGCAAATATATCAGAACTCACAGGAGATCCAAGAGATTTCCTTTTAGCTGATGTTGTCAGGACTGGATTGGTGACTGAACTCGTGAGGGCCCCGATATGGTTAGAGTGGCCAGTCTTGACGGTTTCACTAGTCCAGATAGATGGGATAATTTTCATAAAAATTTATAAATTATGGAAAATAACAAATATGAAAATAGAAAATTATGGAAAAATCAGAACTCCATCAAGCGACAATAAATATATTCAAACAACTATTATTAACTTTTTTCTTTTTATCCTTTTCTTTTTTTAAAAATTTTTCGATTCTTACTATTAAAAGGTTTTTCCAATTTGCAAAAGCCGTTAAAATTCAAAAGAAAATGCACAATCAAACAATCAGTTTATTATTATATTTTTTGCATTTTCTGTTTTCTAACGACTTTAACAAATTGTAAAAACCCTTTAAAAAACCAAATATGCCAAAAAAAAAAAAAAAAGTCACGAAATAAATTCTTGTATTGTACTTTTTCTTTATTTTGTATTTAAGAGCTTCTACAATTTGTAAAAGTCCTTGAAAGTTGAAATTCAAGACTGAAAATGTATATAAAAAAAAAAGCACAAAAGAAATAATGCATTTTTTTTAATGCGATTTTACAAAAATGTAAAAGCCCTTTTGCTTTAAAAAAGTAAAAAAAAAAGCAGAAACAAGGACAATTATTTTTTGCATTTTCAATATTGGGTTTTTTAATTGATTTTACAGATTGTAAATTCCCTTGGAAAATAAAAAAAGTACATGCACAAAAAAAAAAAAATTGTAGTGGTTTCTCTTTGAATTTTTGGTATTGTTTTTTAAATGCTTTTGCAAATTGTAAAAGCCCCTTCAAATCAAAATTAAAAATAACAAAAGAAAAATGTAAAGTTTTTGTGTGTGCATATATATATATATATATATATATTTATGCGAAAAGATGAGATTAGCCCACTAGCTCCTATGAACATATGAGCTCAACGTCTCAGGTTGATTCTGGGTCGATCTGACGTTCACGGATGTCTGGTAGTGTTTGAATTTTAGTTTTTTTTCTATAAACCCAAATCACTTGAAATTTTAGGCGCGTGTTCATAAAAAATAGGTGAATTTTCAAAAAATATCAAAAAAATATTTTAAATGAAATAAATTGATCAAAATACCCTTGAAAATATTTCGGGGGTATTTTGGTCGTTGTTTTCTTCGCAAATAAAATTTTTTTTTTTCATATTTTTATTAGGTGCGTCTTGATGAGAAGAACACTTACCTAAAACGTCAAGTGATTTGGATCTGTAAAAAAAAAAAACAAAAATTCAAGCACTACCAGACATCCGTGATCGTTAGATCGGCCCAGATTTAATCTGGGCCGTTGGGCTCATATGAG